GGCAGGAGAACGAGTACTAGGCTTTTCGTTTTAAGCAAGTTCACGCACATGAACGACCACTTCACAATCGGCTGCGAACCCTTCCTGAAAGCGCTGGAGATTAATTTCAGAGTATGCCAACAAAATAAGGTCGTCTGCAAAAAGCAATCTTCTCATCTCGACTGACTATTCTACCCATGTAAGACACGAGCAGGAGAGGGGACAGGACGCATCCTTGGCGGAAACTCATGCCAAAAGGGCAAAGGCCTCATTAAAGGCCTCAACTTAGCGCCATCTACTCTGACCCAGCGCTGGCTGTCGGCATATAATGCTTGGATGGCCCGTAGAAACTGGCCGTCGGTTTCATATGTTCGCCAACCTGCCCATAGAATGTCACACAGGATCCTGCTTTCTTGAGGTCAACAATGCACATATGCACCGGGCGAGAGAAAGTCAATCATTTCTCAACAAGCTGGCGTAAGGCAGGTATCTGGTCAGGGGCGTTTCGGCCAGGTTTGAAACCACACTTCTCCTATGGTATCTTAGAATCAGTCATTCCGCGGCATCTCCTTTCTAGCACCTTTGCGTAGACTTTACCCGGTAGGCTCAATAAGGTAATGCCTTGATAATTAGAGAACTCCTTTTCTCCATTCTTTAGCATTGGTACTACAACCTCCGTTCTTCTGTCCGCTGGCGTCTTACTCATTGCAGTTTGAGAGCGATGTCAGCCAGCACATACCCTATTCGTCTATTGCTTTGAGCATTTCTGAGCGGATTTCTTCAATTCCAGTAGCCTTTCCACGTTTTAAGCTTTTCGCAGCTCGCGTGATTCCATCTACAGAAATAGTACCATCCGTTCCGTGCTGCTTTCTTACACCTCACATCAATTACCACTTTCGATTTCAATGACTTCAGTCCATTACCTTTTAAATTATGCCCGGCTAAATTGTGCAATACTGTCATTGATATCTGTAACTTTTGTCTGCATCATTTACTGATACCGGATATATGGTGTATAGTTTCGACTACAACGGTGAAAACGAGAGGATCGAACAAACAGTCCATATGTATTATGTCCAATACCAATGACGTTTGCCCTGCTAAAATGCCTTGAATACCTTGTCCTTCCTGTCGTTAGGAGAAAGGTGACTTCTTCTTTTGATCCTTACCAATTTGCCTACCGTCTCAAAACAGGAGCTGACAACGCCGTTGCCTGTCTAACTCAAGAAATTGGGAAAGAACTAGGCAAAGACGGAAGAATTGGTTCAGCGGTGTTCTTAAACCTGTCTTCGGCAGTCACTTCCATCCGACGCAATAGGCTTGTACTCACACTAGCAGAACTGTCCATGAACAAGTGCCTAATCAACTGGCTAGCAAACTATTTTTCCCGTCGACGCCGATTCGTGAAGTCAATGGGAGAAAATCCAGCGCATTGTAGAATAACGTTGGAGTGGTGCAAGGCTTTGCTCTGTTACCACCATTATTTAATATTTTTTAAATGACTTCGTTGTTAACGCGCTACTGAAATGCACAAAATACCACCGTAGTGTTCTGATCTCTAAATGCGACTACGGATTAAGTTATTTACGAGAATGGTCTTTTTCAGTAGGTCATCATTTCACTTCCCACAAATTCCTGCTCAACTAGAAAAAAAACATGCGAATGGCCTTGCATCATGTACGGCACTAAAACCCAGATACTTATAAACCTCTGTTCACGCGTATTTGCTCTTCACAGCGATGCTGTACAATAAATGCAAATCCTAGATGTCAAATCTAGGAGTCACCCTCTCTGCCGACTTCACATGGCGCGAGCACGATCAGACAATAGCAACTGATTGTTGCTGAGCAGCATTTTAGGAAAACCTGCAGAGAAATTTGAACCCACCGTAGGAAGCATTTGACGAGTTTGTTTGCCTGTGCATTCTACCGCTGCACACATACGGCAATGGAGTGACTTTTCCCGGAATGTTACTTCTCAATTTTAAGGCAACGTCTCAGTCTCTAAGAATTGTTTCAAGCTTAAGCAGCTTGCAGTTCAATGATATGACATCCTGTGTTGCAGAACCAATGTTTGCGCATGGAGTTCGCATTGAAAGCAGCATGTTTAGCAACAATTTATACGCTCTGCACACTAGCCTCTCAAACAGTTTGGCCAACAATACGTTCACGTGTTCACAATTTATTAACGTTTCAACGAGAACTGAGAAATTTCGCAAGTTGTTCTCTCCGCCATTAACACGGATTCTCAGGGATTGTCACGCCGTTAAACAGCGCCACTTGGCTATGCTAAATGTGAAAGCATTGTTCTCATGGTATGTTGGCCAGAGATTTGCCATATCCTCCTGCTGACTTCGTGCTTAATTACTGTCCTGTCATGCCACAAACTGCAGCTTAATATTTTTCTTTATTTCCGTGACATGTTCCGCTAATTTTTCTGTATGCTGAAAAATGATGTTCATCCGTGGCGCTGTTCAAACAGTAAAATCTTAATCTTGAAAGATTACGAAGTGAGTGGCTCTTAGTCATGGATTGGTTGGCGCTAAAGCAATTAAAACAGTTGCAAAATTCCTTGTATTATTGTCAACGTTTTGCTTAAGTGTTTAGTTACAGCTGCTGTTTCATTCGAAAATGTATTTTGAAAAATATGTGCCAATTTTAGTTTCCATGAACATGAAACTATATGCAGCCTGAGAAACTGCCTTTAACAAGATATGCAATTAAACGATCACAAAGTCCCTTGAAGTTAAGTATCATACGATATTATACCGGAAATGCATAAGGTTCTAGCGACGTTTCGTTACTAGTTCAAGGCAATTTTAGGGGTTTGATTCATTCACTCATGTTTCATGGCCGCTGCACCTTTCGGATCGCGGAGACAGACGCGCCAAACAGTGCTTCCAACGTTCCCGATTATGCGCCAAAGTCTGAGCCTCGACAGAAGAAAACTAGAATCTGGAACAGACTCCTTCCAAATATTTGCACCAGGTTAATCTTAGCTGTCTCCTGGGCCTTCTGCCGGTCGGTTTGGCAAGAAACAGTTGCTTAGCCTTCCTTCCTGTAGGCATTCGCAACATATGCCCAAGCCATCGCAACGGTGACTTCTCAGTCTGGAGAAGCAGAGGCTGTATTCCAGGCGCTCCAAAATAACAGTATTGCGGACCATGTCGAGACGCGTAAGGCCAGCGACTCGTCTCAGACGGCCCATTTTAGCAGCTTGTACACGGGTTCGATGTTTTTCAGTCATGGTCTATGATTCATGATCGTAGGCCAATATAGGGTTGAAGAGCGATTTGAATACCCAGAGCTAAATCGTCAGACCCAGCTCTGCTTCAATCACAAACGTCCAGGCCAGTTCAAGCACTACACTATTGACTACTTCAATTCGCCGGTGGATCACTTCCTCAAATTTTCTATCACCAGTAAATACGATTCTGAGGTACTTGAACTTCTCCACCTGCTCCGTTGCCTCTCCATTAATTTGAATAGGGCAACGAGCAGTAGAACAAAAAGGCACTAGGCTTTCCGTTTTAAACGCGTTCACACGCATACCGGTCACGCCGCACTCGGTTGCGAACCTTTCAATGTAGCACTGAAGATCAGCTTCAGAAGATGATAATAAAACAAGGTTGTTTCCAAGCTGCAACCTTCTCGTCTTCAAATTACCTACACCGAGTTGCTTATCGCCTTGGCGGCTCCTGACCATTCTATCCATGTATAACACAAGCAGGAGAAGTGACAGGACGCAGTCCTAGCGGAGATTAGTGCCAATATTGAATGGTTTCAGCTTACAGTGAAACAGTGATTAGATGGCCCTTAGCAGCTGGCCATCTATTCCGTATGCTCGAAGGCATGTCTACAGACTGTTGCGTGGGGTCCGGTCATGGGCTTTTTCTAGGTCCACAAAACACGTACACCGGACGGGCGTACTCCTACGATTTCTCAACAATCTGACTCAGGGAAAATATATGATGAGAGATGTTTCGATCGGGCCGGAAGTCACACTGCTCTTCTTGTATCTTGGAGTCATATAGTCCGCGGCTCCTCCTTTCTAGCAGCTTTGCGTATACTTTGCCTAGGAGGCTCAATAACGTAATGCCCATATAATTGGAGCACTCCTCGTGGTTTCTCTTTTTGAATATGGATACCTGCTTGTGTCTTCCCCTAATCATCGCTGTTTGACAGACATGTATAAGCCAGCACATTCCTTGTTCGCCTGATGCTTTGAGCATTTTAGGGCGGATTTCATCAGTTCCAGCTGCCTTTCCATTTTTCAAGCTTGTGTAATTTCATCTACAGATATAGCAATATCCGTTTCGTGTTGCTCTGCAGCGCTTCATCCATACTAAAATTTTACACAAAAAAGATAGGCGCATTTATCACTTATCACATTTTCTAGCTAATGAAATCGAAGTTAGACAGTTCAAACAAATTATTTTTTCCATTATGGCAGGAAGCAATAAAAATCAGTTCAGTGTTAGTGGTGTGTCATTGATTGATTTTATCACCTGTCATTTTTAAAATAAAATCTTTTTCCTTTACGAGATATCAGCAGCTGATATGACGGCGACGCTACTTACGCACAATTATGCCCTATATTGCAAAATTCTGCGACTTACGTAATCTGTGTCAACGTTCTTGAAAGAATTTGACGATGGAAGTTCCTAATAAACTTTGTAAAATTTCGCATTGAAACATTCGATAGTCTTTCGGACGTTAAACTGAGCGCTAACCTTCGAAGTAAAAACAAAACTTCTAAAGCATTATGGTATGATGCCCACATAGGCAAATCGATGCAACCTATTGATTAGCAGGTTGTAAAATGAGAATAACAAAAGGCGTTGCAGCAGTCACAGGAGTGATACGTTGTTTGCTTTGCGGTAGAGGTGTGTGGTCAGGTTTTTGGAGCTATTGGTGCAATGAATGCTGCGTTTCTCGTCAGACGCGTGTTGCTTCCAAATGAAATGGCATTGCTCTCACGGTATGATCACTTGCTTTGTTCCATGTGATCTTACAAGCCGCTTGCTGCGCCGCATGTTGCATGCGTGTCAACTATCGATTTCTAATGATAATTCGACTTTAACACCGAATTTAAATCTTTCTTTACTGCGCTTATTTTGTTGTCA